CCCCCCACCCTTGGTTTCTTTCTTTCTTAACCATTAACCTTTTCCTTGCCATTCTATTTAGTTACTATAGATAATAAAAAGTGAATATCTATAATTTTATGTCAAAGAGTAGCTGCTCGATTGATTTCATCTATATGTCCTGTTTTGGTGCTTATTTATGGTTGTGCCTATAAAACCTTTAACGCTAGAGTCTCTTTAAAGGCCACGTTTATTTGTTTTGTAATAGAGTAACCTCCACAAAGATATCGATATGATCTTTGGCCTTACAACCTTTTGCCATTTTGCCGAAAGTCCCGAACAAAGCCTTCTTTTTTTCCTCTCCTTAAAACAAGGGGTATTATTCAACTCTGATATAAAATCACACTCTTTTTCCCTTGTCAAAACAATAACCTTTGTGCATTTCACGGGCACCTTTTTCTATGTTATGCATTTGCAAGCCACAGATTGTCATCAGCTATCTCCCGACCTTGTTGTTTTCCCTTCTCTCGTTTGTCGGCCGCCTGTAGCAGATGGATGGTTCAAACAGTCAGACGCACACAGACAGCAGACAGAAGGCTCCGTCTGAAAAACTGCTTCTTGAAATAAATACCTGTGTATCGTTAGACGATGTAGCTTATTTATTAATTTTTATCTTGAGAAAGTGTTGGCTTGAATCGATAACACGGAAAGCACAGATGGTGAGGTAAGTGTAAATGTTACGAAGCATGTTTTGCTGTGTTTATAGCATTTATGCATCACTGCCACTGTTTGAATAAATACATCCCAGCATGTTTTATATTTGTTCTTTATTTTCAAGCAATTTAGCACACGCCTGTGCTAATTAACATGTTAAACCAAAGACCCTGTTGTGCTTAGTTACAAATGGCTTTGTTAAAGTTGGCAGGAGCTGAATTTTTAGTCAAAACACAAATAAATCCACATTTCCTACTGTCAGCTCTTTGCTTTATGGATTTTTCTTCAATGAGACACAAAGGTCCGACATTATGAGCATGTCGTAGATTAATAGCGATTACTTTCCTGTAGACAGGAAAGTGGTTTATGTTACAAATTTAAGTAGATATATTTATTTTCAGGATACCAAAGAAAGGTGGATGAGCTGTTATAAATTACAATGAATGAACTGATTTATGTGCTGTGCTTATATTGCAGTCATACTGTTAAAAAAAATGCCACTCTTATGAAGTCCCTGTATTGTAAGGATTTGTTTGGAAAGAAACACTTGTGGTAGGTCTCCAGTAAGTTTATGTAAGTCTGAAGTGATGGAAATGGGCTGCTAGTTTTATAATGCTGCTGTTTCAGTCTTTTAAACCACTGGAAGCGCTTTTACTCTGCATGCCCCAGTCTTCATTTGCACTTAAGTGCTTTTCCTACCACACTGATGGATGTGCGAGGGAGCAATTTACATTCATTTGCTACTTTGTTAGGTACAGCTGTTTAACTGTATGTTTGAGATGGTATAGATGATCGTCTGATGTTCAAATTGAGCATCAGAATGGGGATGAAGGTGATATAAATGACTTTTGAACATTGCGTGGTTGCTGGTGCCAGACATGTTGGTCTGAGTATTTCAGAAACTGCTGATCTGCTGGGATTTTCCCACAAAACCCCCTCTAGGTTTTACAGAGAATGGTCTGAATAAGAGAAAATATCCACTGAGTGGGAGTTCTCTCAACAAAAATGCCTTGCTGATGTCAGAAGTCAGATGAGAATGGCCAGACTCCTTTGAGCTGATAGGAAGCCAACAGCAAATAACCTCTCATTACAACAAACATGATGTGCATTTAGAGATGCAGAAGAGCATCTCTAACTGCACAACATGTTGAACCTTGAAGAAAATGGGCTGGTACGCAGAGTCTGAAGGCCACTCTGCGTACCAGTTCTGTCAGCTAAGAACAAGAAACTGAGGCCAAGATTAACACAAGTTAACCAAATCTGGACAATAGAAGACTGAAAAATGTTCCCTGGTCTGATGAGCCTCAAGTGACATGCAGATGGTAGGGTCAGAATGCAACATAAAAAACATTGGACACACATTGCACATTGAAAATAAAAATAATGTGGATTTAGTGGTATTATCGTTTTCTTTAATTACTAGTCTTTCTCCCTTCCTCCTTTTTTTCAGTTGACCAGTTTGTGTGTCACACTGAGGCTATTGCGGATATTGTGATCCTGGTGGACGGCTCCTGGAGTATTGGCCGACTAAACTTCAGGCTGGTCCGTATGTTCTTGGAAAACCTGGTCAATGCCTTTGATGTTGGCATTGATAAAACAAGGATAGGTGGGTCCTGGCTTCTTTCCTTCTTGAACAGATGGGTTCACCATGGGACCAATATGGCTGTTTTAGCCATGAATTAAGTTGTTTTCGTCTATCGAATTAGTTCAAGTTTGAGTGAATATTACTAGGAAATGACAAGCTGTGTGTAATTGTGTCATGTTGTTCATTTATCAGGTCTCGCACAGTACAGTGGCGATCCCAGGATTGAGTGGCATTTAAATGCTTTCTCAACTAAAGATGCAGTCGTTGATGCTGTCAGGAACCTGCCCTACAAAGGAGGAAACACCCTCACAGGTACTGACCCTCTGTGATTTTGACTTTTGTTTTACAATAGTAGATTAAAAAGTTCTTCCTTGCCATTCTCTTCCCAATTGTCTTTTTAAAAGTCCTGTTATGATCGCTACTTTCACACACTACTATTATTCTATTGTTATTTTTACTTATCTTT